ATAAGCCTTTTAAGCTTTTGTAGATGACCTTAATATGATTATCAAATTAAGGGTGATATGCTATTAAAAAATTAATTTTTTTTGAAGTTGCTTTCGTTATATTTTTAAGAACATACATCTTGATTGAAGATAAATATTTTGGGAAGCTTTTGTAAATAAACTATCTCACAAAAGAAGATGGTCATATATGTAATACATCAGTCATACAAAAGGGTATGGTGGGTGTGATTTTATAAAATGATCAAGGACTACTAATATGGAGTCAAAGCATGACATAGTGTATAATACTCCTTTGATAAAGTCCATATTAAGCTATTCTTATAAATTAATCTTTGTCATTCTTCGCTACTTGAACTGTTTGATAACGAACAATAATGCTTGCTATATCCCTTTTAATATTAGGATAATAGAACCCATCATCCATTATAGACAATATATTATCAAGAAAAAGATGTTCAGAAATACTTTTTGAATGCATTTCCTTAAGAAGAAATCTCAAAGTGAGAAGATGGTAGGGTTGCATACTTTATAGTAGACATTCATCTAATATATGATAATCATTATTAATGATAGGTTCACTGCAATTTAAGAACTAGAAAAATTTCTAAATATTTATAATTAGAATTATTATTTTTAATCTTATTAATTTTAGCAACCTTCATGTTCATTATACTAGGGTGTATATCCTGTTAAGAACATCAACAAATTTATTCTTAGTATAAGACTTATTCCTTAGGATAAAAGTGTTTCTTAAAATAATTATATTCAATTTTCATGATAGGAGCTAAATATGTTTTGGGTGTTAAAGTATTTAAGAGCTTCATGATCATAATAAATTAAAATCTTGTGAAAGAGGATATTGTCACCAGCAACATAAACTCTAGTTGGTGATGTAAAACTCATGATCATATATGTTAAAAAAGACAATATGATCACCAGCAACATATTGTCACCAGTAACCTTAACCCATATACTTAAATTGTTATTGAATAAAGCAATTGGATGACCTTCTTTTTTTAGGAATTCTTTGTGACCAACTCTTAAACAAGCATAAAATACTTAAGAACATTTAGCAAAATTTAGTAATTTTAATATTGATAAACTTGTTAAAAGCTACTTAAATTTTTAATAGTTATTAGCAGCCACATTTTTCTAATATAAAGAATCTTTTCTTGAGATAATAAGTGATTGGAGCCATAACTATAATGATTTAATTAATAAACCTTTGATATAACTTGGGTAACACATACAAACTATGATCAGCTTGAATTATGGTTGGATTAGGCCACTTTTGAATGAGCTTACTTGTCTTAGGATAGGAAGAGATGCCAACAAAAGAAATCAATATTCCATGAGAATTCTTAGATGATTATTTCCTTAAATGATTGTACTCAAGTATTGGTTAAGCCAAATGGCATTAATTAAACGAAACTTCTTTTTAATTAAAATCTATTTTCAATTCATCACTACGTCAAATATAGATTTGATGACATCTACTTCTATAGTTGATTTTAAATAAAATTGTGGTTCTATCCATCATATTTAATATGTCATGAAATCAAGGTATTAGAAATAAATATTTTATATTAATATTTTTAATGCCATGGCTATCTATGCACATAATACTTTTTTTTTGTAGGTAAGAGGGCAGAGATTGCATATAGAGATAAGTTATTTTTGATAAAAACTCATTAATAATATAACATCCACATAGCATTATATCCCTGAATGTTCACTTAGATTAATATAATAATATATCAAATTAGAGACTGATGATCCATGAATTAGCTATGTAGCATGCTAATTGTTCCCCAATGAAAGAATCTCACATAGAAGTACATTATGACAAACATTTTAATACTTTGATAGATATTCATTCACCTTAGATGGAAGATATTTGACAAAAGAAATGATTTTTAGAAGTCAAGGCAATTATAACAAAATTATATTTTTATTAACCTTCTATTTAAACTAAACTTCTTAATATTTAATATGAATGAAATTTTTTATAAGGGTAAATAAATTTTGAGCTTGTTATGGAGTATTCTATTTAAACATAACATTATTTTACCTTAATTTATTTTCCATAAAATTTAATTTCATATATGTTTTAATTTCTATAAATTATAACATCTATATCAAAAAGTAAAGATCTACCAAAGATAATATGATTAACGTCCATAAAAAGGATGTCATATTAAATCTGATTAATATATTTTCCTAATTAAATGGCTACAAGATAATATTAAGAGATAAAGAAGAATGTCTTTTTTAACTAATAAACCTAGTAAGATATTGTGTACCGCCTAGTGCAAAGTTCATATTATCTAAAATGGAGGTTATAATATTTTCCATTTATTTAATTTCTATTATAAATGACTAGTTTACACCTTATTATCAATCTTAAATAAGTTTAAAAGATTGATGTGTCCCTCTAGTTGATATTAACTCATAATGTAGTTTTTTAGGGACATGTATGATTCATGAAGTGCACATGTATTTCTAGTAATATAATGATTAAGTTCAAGTGTATTCTCACAAAGATGGATCTAAAGTATGAATAAAAAAACTAAATAGTAACTTCGTAAATCCTAATTTTCATAGAATTTTTAATATTTTTTTGGAAATGCTAAATAAATTATTCAAATTGAGACAAGTCTATGGATTTGTAAATTGTCAATGCAAATTTTCATAATTATAAATAGTAATTCTATGGTTTAAAGGATAAAATCTATAATCATGAAAAATTACATTGAAAATTAACAAATCCTATTACTAGGTACTTAGCCTAAGATGTTTGCAAACTTAACACTATGAAATCCTTTAATATAAGCAAACAAGTGCAAGAGTTTACTAGTAAAACAAAAATAAATGAAATGTAAACAAGGACACCACAGACCTTTGAGTGCAATATTTAATTTTAACTATTGAAATTTTCTTCAAATCCTTTTCCCTGCTCCCTCACCTTTTTTTGCAATCTCATTTAATTCTCTCTTCTTAGCTATGTGACACTTACTCTCACACTTGATAGTCCAAGACATTATATAATGCACTTTCCCACTATTTTATGCCTTATCAACATTATTAACCACCCTTTTTGCTCTCAAAATTTGGATTTGAAGTCACGTAACATTCTGATTGAGTTGTCATGCCATGGCTCTCAAGGGTCAGTACTGAATGTTGACCAAACATTGCAACACTCCAATATTAGTGTTGAGGCGATGAACTTTAAGTCTTCTGGTTCAAAGTCCACTCCTTGATCATGTTGTGACACTCTGGTAGCTAGCACCACAACAATTTACAATGGTATTGTACTATTTAAATTTGTTCATGCAGCGCCTTACTCTCGTGAACCCTTTTGATAAAATCTCTATCATAGCATTGTTGTTTTGATATTGTTGTTGCAACATTGTCTTTAAAATTCTTATTTTTTTAGTTATTTTTCATGGGAGTTTTCTTGTATAAAAATACATAAAGTAATGTATTATTTATGAAAATGTATGAAACTATGACATATAATTTGGCAAATTATTAGCTATTTCTTTAACTCAAGTGTAGTAAAAAAAAACATATAATAGTTAGAAGAACCCTCCCAATACATCTTTTGCATTACCAGACTCCTAATAAGGTCCATAATAATATAATCATTTATATTTTTATTTAGTTAATCCCCATGTTGAAAATCCTTACATAGGTTCCATCCATATGTAAAGTAAGAAACACCAAATATTTTAGAGCTATATGTTTCAATAAGAGCCTTTCTTTTGAAATTGTTGGGCGTTGATGGGGTGAGAACTATGAGATGAGACTAGGAACCTTTTTAAGGTGAAGTCATAATTTTTTATGAGATTAATATTTAAGAAATTGTTCAATCTAAGTGGTAATTTGAAATGCATCCTTATTCGTCAAGGTGGAGTTTGTTAGATATGACTCTTATACCATAAATGGACAAATGCTGGAGCGGAGCGGAAGATTCCGTCCAAATCAACGGAGTTTCCTTATGTGGGTTGGGGGTGTGGTACAGAGGTAATTTGACATTTACATATTGTACCCAAAGTTTCCTTTGTTGTTCTGTCTAAAGTTATGAATAGAGTTATATATAACCCTAGGTGTTATCCCATATTCTGTATTTTATACTCTTTTGTGAATATTAAAAGAAAGACGTCACTCTGCTCTCGAGGACGTAGGCATCTTTGTCGAACCTCGTTAAATCTCTTTACCCTTCTGGATTTGTGTCGATTCATGTTTTTTCTTCGCCCTAATTTCTCAACAAATACCACTAATTTAATTTACAAAAAGTGAAAGACACCTTTTCATGCATAAGTTGGGTGGTATGCATGAAAAAATTGAATTTTAAGTTTTAGATATGTAAATGCGTACATAGGAAGAGTCGTATGAATGTAAATTTTTCTTTCCCTCACGTATTAAGCTCATTCCTTAATAATTCCTTTGGATTGCTTATTAAGGCCATAATATCTAACGCACCAACTAAGCTGCTAAAACTAAAAAACCCTTATTTATCTAAGGGTAAATAAATTTGTTATTAAAAAAAAACGTTATATTCAAATGTGGCATTTATACATGATAAAATTTTATATTTAGCAGCATATTTGTATTAGCATTGTTTTTTAGTTAAAGAGTGATGAAATTTTTGTTTTAGCATTTATTTACAGGGACAGTTTTGTCTTAATTTAAATTTGAGGCATTTACATTCTTATCGCTCAAATGTTGATGTATTAACAAATCTAACACTTCAAACAGTACTTTTCACATTTATACCACCAGATCTTTAATATACATAAGAAATACACTGTTTTATCTTTAAATAGTGAAAAACATGGTCTAATGCATAAAAAGAATTAAAATAACTTTCATGGCAGTGTAATGCTATCAAATAATTAAATTGCCAATTCCAAATTCCCACAAAAAGGCATGAAAAAAACAAAATAAAACAACCAGAGACTGAAGCAACAATAAGAAACAACTGAAGAAACTAAAGAAAACGAACACAACATTATATGGAAATCACTCCAAAATCAAAAGTTGCAATGCCAACCAACCCAAATACACATAATTAAAAAAAGCAAGCTTTTTACAGATGAAGAGAGGTATCAATCTCTGCTTCACTAAATTTCTCAACTTTTTCATCCTGTAACTCCCTTCCCTCCCCTCCATCATGACAATACTTCGTCAGCTTTGATGGATTCCACAACTCAGGATAATAGAACCATCTCGGTTGAATACAAGCAGCGGAAGAACTCATACACTTTGTTTCAGAAAACAACCTGAGCAGCTCCCTCTTCTCCCTCATCTCTCTAATCCTCTGAAGTTCTCTGAAACGCTCTTGCAACAGAGCAATGGAGGAATGGAGCAGAGCTCCAGTTTCACAGCTGTGCTTTCCCATGAAGTTCTTTGAAGCCAAATTAGATGTTTCTTTGCTTGTTCAATGAGGCTTTGTTTGTGCGTATTTATAGGGGTTGAAGAATGATTCATCTGCAAGTGCTGAGGTGGTAAATTGATTTAGTGGAGAATCTGTGCAAAATCCAATGAAGAAGAAGACTTTGTTGTGGTGTTCAATGAAGCCGGAATGGGGATAAAGGGATGGGACTGTAGCTTTTGGATTTATGCTGGCAAGGAATAATTTTTTTTTGGATCCATATCGGATGAAATTTTTCTTTCTTTTGTTAGATTTACTGCTGCTGTCGCCGTTTGCTGGAGATTTCAGATTGCACGTTACTCGTTGATTGGAGCTTTAGTTTCCACCTAAAAATATAAATATGTATATTATATATATATATATATA